GCGCGCCGCGTGTGGCGCGCGCCAAAAAATGGGTAGCGAAATTTCGGTATTGGGCGACGCGCGCGAGCTCGAATTTCGGTAGCACATATCTGCAATTTTGGGTACTGGCTACCGATATCGTCCTTGTGAGTCTCAGGGCAATACCGGTATTGGCTGAAGATGCGTCGCTGAGTCGCTACCGGTATTTGGCGGTGTGTTTGCGATTTCGGTCGCGCCCGATCTCTCCTGAGCGCTACCGATCTTTTTGGGTCGAGCAGCATCTGGGTGTGGTCCTTGAGCACGATGGGAGCAACATGAACCTGGGTGGGAACGGGCCCCGCGAGGCACGCAGGGCATAGCACCTCTCCGTGAGTGGGCCAGTCGGGCCCCTGCCAGGCCAAGGAGGATGGGCACCACAGGGGGGGCCCACCCCAAGACACACCCTGCTTGCCCCCAGGATTGTGATGTTCCAACCTCCTTTGGCCTTCATCTCCAGGAAGAATTTCGAGCACCAGACAATAAGTACCCCAAAACTCGAGGGTGTTCACGTGTCGGGCCCTGGGAGACACTCGTCCGACACTGTTTCGACACTCTTTCGACACTTTTCCGGGTGCTCGAAATTGTTTCTGGGATGAGGTCTTTGAGTACGAACGGAGCAAAGCAATCCCAGGGCGCCCTTGCTTTCTTGGTTTTCGATCGTTCTGCTATGGAAAGCGTGACGCACCCACACCAAACATCAGCGAACGTCATGGGGTTTCAGGGTTGGGTCTGTTGAGCAAGGTTTCTTGTGTTTTTGCCCCTACTGTAACGCAGTCTCGCTTCACCAGAGACGGGTGTCTGATGCAAGACAGTCCTGTCAGGCATTTCGGATTGAGCCGTCGTTTTTCGAGGCGCGAGTCTTTCTTCGTTGGTCAGCGGCGCGTGGCGCTTTCACGGTGGACCAGGCTTATGAGTGGAATATTCTCGAGCACCGTGCTTTTTCCAGGAGTATCCAGCAGTCCTCGATAAAAGGCCAACCATTGCTTTATTCAAGGACGAACCTTGAAACATTTAGCACAGCGATCTGGTGGTATTCGCAAGCGATCCCTCACTTGGAGGATGGCGAGGACAGGAGGTGGATGAGGATGAGGACTCAGGGGTGATAGGATTCAGCGCATGGCCAGGGGTGCCCTTCGAAGATCGGGCGCGTCCGCAAGGCAGATCGGCACTGACGATGCGCTGTCAGCACTCGTCGCCTGCCTCCCGCTGCGCCTCTTCCTCCTGCCCCACCTCCCGCATCCTCACAGGCTGCCGTCTGTCGGAGCCAGGTGCTCATCGTCGAAGCTCTGCTCGATGCGGCCCTCGGCGGTGCGCGACGTCGGCCTCGTTTTTTATTGTCTCCTGCCTGGCGAGCCCGAGCCTGACCCCGAAGCAGAGAGCCCAGCTTGGGCCTCCTGCGTTGGTCCTTGGCGTCCATTGCTCCATCCACTGGCTCCCTGGTCTTACCAGTTTGAAGCATATCCCCATCCCTGTGTTTGGCATAACTTTCCCTTGATGCCGATCTTAAGGATTCCTTCAGCTTCTGAGGGCACAGCCCTGTGATTGTCCTCGCTTTTTGCTCGCCAATCTTAGGGATAGGGATAGGTTCGAGGCTGGTTATGGTCTGGGTGAGGGTCTGCTCGCTCGTGCAGCGGAAGTCGGGCTCCCCTGCTCGGATCTGCCAAGAGCAGCGATGGCACATGACGATTGCAGTCTTGTGCGTACAGGCAGCAAACGGAGAGGAGGAGGAGGAGGAGGAGGAGGAGGAGGAGGAGGAGGAGGAGGCGGGGGGAGGAGGAGGAGGAGGAGGAGGAGGAGGAGGAGGAGGAGGAGGGGTCTCATTGCGACGACTTCTTGGTTGCACACCATTTCTGCTGGAGTGGGGCAGGTAGGGTTTCTACCTAAGCACGGACCGGGCGTGTTTGGGGGGCGCTATATTTCCGCGGGCATATCGTAGAGTTATTGCCCTTGCACTGGGGATGGTTATCGCTTTTTGTGGTGCCCCCCCCCCTCTACACGACCGCCACACTGCAAGTTGTTCTTGACGGTGCATTCCAGTATTACTGGGCGTTCTGTCTCAGCACGCAGCGTTCTTGATGACCGAACAAAAAGAGGGAATAGGAGGAGCACGGGAGGATACGTACTCACTTCTTCATTTCATTTGTGCCTGTCTGTTTTTCTTCCGGGTTGCTGTTGCTGCAAGTTGCGCATTGTGTTTTATTGTAGGTTGGCTGTCGCTGCGCCTCATCAGGTTAAGGCCCAGCCAACCTGCAAGGACGAGGAGGAGGAGGAGGACCAGATGGCGCGCGCCAGCACCGCCGCCGCCCGCCACGGTCCCGTTTGGCGCCAGGACTTTGGAGAACCATCAGTCCAGCAAGGATCAGCGCCGCGCGCGCATATCGAATTATCCATCGCCAGAGTATGTCCACATCCACCGCTCCGGAGTCGTGCCCTAAGATCACGAGGAGCGGTGGATATGGATATCTGCCCGCCTGAGTGGGCGCACAGATATCCATATGATTGAATGTCACCTCTCTCCCCTACTGCGCACTCCCACTCCGCATTGCACTCTCTTGTATCACCGCAGCCCATTCAGACTCAGGGCAGCTTTGAGATTCCTTCGCACAGAGGTAGAAGAAACACATTCATCAAACATGGTAGCGTAGAGCACTGCCCTGAGTCGCCACCGCAATCGGCGATCCATTACCTTAGTGGGTATTTCTCTCAGGCCTTCGTCATGGCGACCGAGGCGCAAATGGCAGAGCTCATCCAGCGGATGCAGCAGCTGGAGGCCACGAATGCGAACCTCTAAGGTGAGCTTCTTCGGCTGCAGCGTGAGCAGCAGCAGGCGCAGCAGGAGATGCCGAACATTGTGAACCTCTTGCAGAATCTTCCGCAGACCCTTGCCGAGGCCACGAAGGGCCTCAGGGACGAGAACAAGAGCCTCGTCGACAACCGCGGGCTCGGCAAGCCCAGCACCTTCACCAATCAAGGAGTCTGACTTCATCCAGTGGGCCCGCAGGACGGAGAACTTCATTGTCGGTGTTTTTTTCCGGACGCACGTGAACTACTTGCACTGGCAGTGGAGAGCGGTAAGACCGCCCTCACGCGTGAGAAGGTCTTCAACAACACGGAGATGATCGGCATGGACACCATCGCCTTCATGGACGACCAGATCTACACAGCCCCTACGAGCCTCACAGACGGCGAAAGCTCCAGTCTAGTTTAACGGGGCTGGAGTTGGTCATGGTTTAGACGCGTGGCGGCGTCTACATGTGCGGTATGATCCTATTACCGGCGGCCGGAATCGTGGACTACTACGGGAGATTTTGACACCAGGGCGTGCCAAGCTCGAGAACCTTCTTGGCGCCATCGAGAACCTAGAGGAGCTTATGCGTCGGTACTGCAACCGGCGGGACCCGACCACCGGTGAGCGCCGCCAGCTTGCCGAGGATATCCGGATGTCTTCTTTGGAGGCCCTCCTCCCCGAAGACCTCGAGAAACACGTGCACATGAACAAAGCACGGCTCAACACGTACGAGGACATGCGCGAGGAGATCGTGAGTTACGTCGAGACGCGGACTGGCTCAGGCTACAAGCCGCCGAAGCCAAGCCAGTATGCTCCGATGGAGGTTGACTCCAACAGCCTCGCCTGGAAGAAAGGAGGAGGCAAAGGAGGAGGCAAAGGAGCAAAAGGAGGAGGCACAGGAGATGGAGGCAAAGGCCAAAAGGGTAAAGACGGAAGAAAAGGGAAAGACACGACTACGACAACGAGACTCGTGTTACAATTGTGGCAAGCCAGGCCACGAAGCCCGTGACTGCTGGTCCAGGCCGCGCGGAACGCAGAACTACCAGCAGCACCAGCAGCACAAAGGAGGAGGTAAACGAGACCACAAAGGAGGAGGCAAGAAAGGGCAACCCAAAGGAGGAAGAGGGCCTGGACGACCAAAAGGAGCAGGAGGAATGGAAGGAGAGCCTGATCAGGATACGTGGCAGCAAGGAGGTTGGGCAGAAGAGCAGCCAGTCGGAGGACTTGCTCTGTCATGTCTTACGGCTACTCCCGAGTGCGAGTGTTCATCGAACTCTTGTTCCTCCTGCCCGGCAGCTTCATCGACCACGTGCGGCGTGTGCGGTGACAGCGCGCACGTACTCAATGCAGTACACGATCACGTAGACCATAAGTACGAGTGGATGAAGCTTAACTTTGACACCAGGGCTGCACGTACAGCATTACGTATGGATACCCCTGGGGGTCCAGTGCCAGGAGCACCGTCGTACAAGTTTAAGACCGCCTCTGGCGAGATTATCAAAGGAAAGGACAAAGTCAAGACCTCGGGGAACACTGTCTGGGGCCAGGCTGTTACCGTCAACGGTGTTCGGACGGCCGTGCACACTTCATTGTTGTCAGGTGGCGATTGCACGAGCAAGGGCCAGGATGTCTTCCTCACGGAGTCCATGGGTTACATCATTCACCATACGAGTCCGATCAGGGACGAGATCAGAATATCCATCACGAGCATCTTCAAGAAGTATAACTACCACGGTGTGGTCGAGATGCCGAAGGACGAAAACAATTTGTACAACGTATGGCTTCAAGTACGGGCTGGTGGCCCCACGGACTCTTCCCAGCAGTCTGAGTTGAAAGAGCCGCCTGCCGACCTGAATGCTAACACGGTGCCGGGTTTTCCCCGGCAGGGCCGGAGCCCGTAAGCCCCGCTGGCACCGTCCCTGGCGGCGCGCCCGCCGGGAACGGAGCTACAGGCTCTGCAGGAGCCTCGGGGTCTCAGGGCCCAGTACCACTATAAGTACCAGACCAGGGAGATCAGATTTTGCATGAAGGTTCTGACGGACAATATTTTGAAGCTGAAGGTCGAGAGGTGCATTTCGAGAAACCCCGACTGCCACACAAAATCGCACAACCCACTCAGCAGGAACGTGGAGACCACGAAGCGTCAGGACACGCGGTTTTTAGGACGTGGTGCCCGCACTGCGTTGGAGCGAAGGGCCAGGCCAATCCGCACAGACCAGCCACAGAGCAGTGCGAAGAGCCAGAAGTGGCGTTGGATTACGGCTTCATGGGGATGAACATCACCAAAGAGGACGAGAACATGGTAGCGCCGATGATTTTCGGCAAAGACGCCAAGACAGCAAGTTATGCCGCGAGCGCTGTGCACCGCAAAGGTGCCAGCAAGTACGCGGTGGCGTACATTGTGGGCTTCATCAAGGGCCTTGGCTACAAGAAGGTGGTCTTGCGTTCTGACAGCGAGAAGTCGATACTTAAGTTGATCGAGTTGGTGAATCAGCACTTGCCATCGGTTGAGATCATCCCGAAGGCGTCCCCGGAGGGAGACCGCCAAGCCAACGGCATGGCCGAGGCGGCGGTACGGGAGATCAAGGGCCAGTACAGAACCTTACGTAACGATCTTGAGAGCAAGTACGGCTACATAATGGAAGAGAGCAGCCCTATTCTTACTTGGATTCCCAGGCGTGCGGCGAACGTCATAAACCGGTACCGCGTGGGCCAAGACGGCCGCACTCCAGAGCGGAGGAGAACAGGGCGATCTTGGAAACGACCTGCAGTGCTTCTTTGGGGAACGATGTTTTTACAGACCCCCGCAAGTGGCCAAGAGCAAAGATAGCCATGAAGCATGCATGAAAGAAGGCATATTCGTAGGACATCACGAACGCACAGGAGCTTCACTCTTCCTCACACCAGACGGACTCAAACGAGGAGCCGGCATTCACCGAGTACCTGAAGATAGACGCTGGGACCAGCAATTCTTGGAGAGCTGCCGTGCTGTACCTTGGGATCCGAATCCAACGCCCAGGGAGGTGCAGACACCTGTGGCGCCTCATCCGAATCCAACGCCCAGGGAGGTGCAGACACCTGTGGCGCCTCCAGGCCGGGAGCCAGTTGTGGTCTCCCTACCAGTGCCGGGACCAGGAGGAGGAGGAGGAGCTGGAGGAAGTGCGCCCGGACAGCGCAAAGGCATGTACGTGATGCAATCGGATATCGAGCAGCATGGTCCTTCGCCCTCCTGCGCGGCGTGCGGCAAAATCATAATGGGCCAAAGGCCAACGCAAGGTCATACCAAGGAGTGCCGCGAGCGGATCATGAAGCTCATCGCTGAGGGCTCGGACGAGGCAGCGAGAGCCCGGGCACGAGAGAGCGAGCTACGCCAAGCTCCACCTGCACCAGTGCCACAACTTGAACCCGCACGACCGCAAAAGGGGCCGCAACCATCCGGCGCACATCCGGACGTGAACATGCAGGTCCAGCTGGAGGAAACACCGCGTGTCACATCAGAGACCCGGGAACGCTGGGAACTCCGACAGCGTGCCGAACGACGTCTTCGAGACGAAGGTCACGCACCGGCCATAGCAAAAGCTAAAGCCCGCATCGAATCACGAGGGTTCAAGCGCAGGCCTGAGGAGCTTGCAGAGGACCTCAAGCAACGTGTGGAAAGCGATCGCGTTGAAGAGCATGTGGACGACGACATCCGCGTGAGAGTGCCCGCAGAGCCCGGCTTTCCCAGCGCCCCCGGACCAGGGGCCAGCTCAACAGGTGAAGGTGCGGACCTGGCCACTGACGGAGGGGGCGAGTTGGGGCCGATGGATTCAGAGCTCGGCAGCGCCACGCTTGGATCAAAGATATCCTTGTTACCAGCAGTGCGAGAACAGTTACAATATCATCTACAATTACATGGATTGGAGGTTTTCGATGAGACTATCGACAGCATGGCAGAGATACTATTAAATTTGTCGGCCGTGAGCGTTGCCAAGATCCACACTCCAGTACGATTTACACAAACATGCAAGATGTTACGACTGCGTCCCGGTTTTTACGTTGACCTCACCAGTAAACGCGCGGACGGCGAGCGCTGGGACCCCAGCCGCGCAGAGGGCCAGAGGGAGCTCCAGCACGCGCATGAGACAGAGGAGCCGAAGCCACTCATCGGCGGCCCTCCTTGCGACGAGTTCCGCGCGCTCCTGCCAGCTAAGCAGACGAAGGAGGAGGTCCAGGAGCGGCGGAGGACAGGAGGAAGGCACATCGAAAACGCTCGTGCTGCATACCAGCGCCAGCTCCAGGCTGGCAGGTACTTCCTCCACGAGCGCCCCAAGGAATCGGACAGCTGGAGACACCCAGACATGAAGAATCTCATTGAGGACCCCAGGACTTTCGTTGTCAGCGGCCCCATGTGCCGATGGGGTTTCGCAGCTGGAGATCAAAGCGGTGAGGTGCAGTACATCCGTAGGGGCACGCAGTGGACTACAAATTCTGCGGCAGTGGCTGACGCTATATCTGCGCAGTGTCACGGGAGTCATCGACATGTACACCTAGTTGGAGGTACTCGTGGCATTCATTTTCCAGGGACTCCGACGCCAGCTGGATGCAGATAGAGATGTAACCACGGCTCACGCATCATATGCGGGAGCAGTCCCTGATGTTACTGGCTGGTGGGACTTGCCTGAGAATGACGACCTCGTGGAGGCGTATTGGGACGACGTAAACAACCAGTGGCTGGACCCCGAGAAGGTCAAAGCAGCGCGAGGAGAAGAAATGGACTGGTTCAAGTACCAGGACGTGTTAGAGTACGTGCCGGAGTCAGAATGCCAACAGCACCAAGGTAAACCTATAAGCATGAAGTGGGTGGATACGTTAAAATCAAATGGGAAGCACAGGTCGCGGCTGGTGTGCCGCGAGATCAAGAAGGCGAAACCTTTTTCAGAACGCCTTGATCCAGCATATGTTTTTTTTTTTTCCGCAATGCCTCCGGTCGAATCCCTGAAGATGTTGATCAGTGAGTGGGTGACTGACCCGAGTGGCGGCGCAGATGGTGCGACCGAGAGTTCGGAATTCCACGACTACGCATTGGCATCTGTCAGTATGTCTCGAGCTCATTGGGCCGCAGTACAAGACAAACGTGCCGTTTATGTCACTCTTTCGGAGGGTTTTGAGAAGCCTGGCTACGTTGGCAAGCTGAAGAAAGCAATGTCTGGCACGGAGGATGCTGCACACCTCTGGGGCGAAACGTGGAGCAATCATCTTGAGAGCCACGGTTTTACCATGGGCAGTGCATCGAGAGCCCTATTCCGCAAATGCTCAATTCGAGGATTGCGTCATGGAGACGACTTCGTTATCTTAGCTCCGCACCCGGAGGACGCCAAGATCATGAGGATTCTCAACCGGGAGGTCCGGATCGACGTGGCAGAGCAGATGGTCCAAGTGGAGGCCGATCAGAAGCATGTCAGGTCCCTCTTGAAGGACTTGGGTCTGGAGACGGCCAAGGCGGCACTGGCGCCGCGCGTCAAGCCGAACAGTGACCAACTTGAGGCATCTAGGACCTCAGCCCCTTTGAACGCAGCTTCTTGTACACGATTCCTTTCTTGCACTATGAGGTGCCAGTTTCTCGATCAGGACCGGATTGACATTGCAGAGGCCGTTCATGTTTGTCGCGACGGATGAGCGCACCGACCGAGCATGATTTGGGGGAACTAAAAAGGCTAGCGCGTTATTTGAAGGGCAGGCCACGGTGCCAGCTGGAATACAGGCTCCAGCAGCCTGGCCAATCATCTCAGCTACATTGTTTCGTGGACTCGGATTGGGCAGGAGATGCGAGCACTAGGAAAAACACATCAGGCATGGTCCTGATGAGAGGGACGCGCAATTTAAGGTGCACGTCCAAACCCAAGGCCCGACAGCCCTGAGCTCGGCGGAAGCTGAATACTACGCCATGACGAAAGGAGCTGCGTCCGCGCTCGGTACGCAAGCGAAAATCCAGCATCTGCAAGTGCACGTGCATTCAGATTCGAGTTCAGGAAAGAGTTTTGTGTCGAGGTGCGGCCTCGGCAAGATGCGGCACATTCAAACTCGATGTCTGTGGCTGCAAGAACGCGTAGCCTGCAAACACTTGTATATACATAAGATCAGGGGCAATCTGAATCCGGCAGATATTTTGACAAAGGCGCTGAGCGTACAGGACATCTTGCGCATAGAAAGCCAAGTCTCTCAGGCACCTGTTTGTGAGCCCTCGGAGGTGTCATGCGTCAGTGCGGTGACGCGCGCACGACCGAAACACACAATTCCAGTGCCGATGTGTGTGACGCCCGGCCTGGCGAATGATAGGAATCAGCCCGTAATGTGTATCTTCCACGCTGGCTCTGCCAGTTCAGGTTTTGCTTTGGACATATTTTATACATGGCTGAACGCGCTCATTGATGACGCGCGGACTGCTCCGCCGTCAGTGCGCCGACCTTGGTTCAAAGAGCAACCGTCAGCAGCTGGACATACTTGCTTGCATGTCTGTGCTATGGTACCGCAAAAGTCCGTAACCACACTCCGCTGACCAGTGAGGAGCCCGGACGACGGTTTGATCAACCGTACCCGGCAGTTGCACAGTAGAGCGCGCTGCGCCGTGTAATCGCTTTGCGTTGCAAGCGGTCTCACATGGAACGGCCGCCTTATACAGATGGGCGGAATTGCGAGCATATTTGCATAAACGCAATATCGCATTTTAGCCTTAGCATTTTTGTCGCGACGAATTGTCATTCCATGGTTTAGTACAGCAGCTACTTAATACACACTGACAGGGTGCATTTTGTCTGGCATTCACGCTTTGGCGGCGTGATTGAATGTCACCTCTCTCCCCTACTGCGCACTCCCACTCCGCATTGCACTCTCTTGTATCACCGCAGCAAATTCAGACACAGGGCAGCTTTGAGATTCCTTCGCACAGAGGTAGAAGAGACACATTCATCAAACACCATATCCACCGCTCCACGAGTCCTCGAGACACAGCTCAGAGGGAGTGGATATGGTCATCATATTCTGGCGGCACAAATTAGAACAGCATTACCTTTCGACGGCCCGCGCAGATTTCTCTCGGATCGGCGCCTGGGCCCCCCATGACAACGCCTCCGGCGCGGGCCCTGGCGCGCTCCACGCGCCCAGGAGGGGGGCTTCATCGCTGATGGTTATGTTATTGTTTATGGTTATGTAGTTTACGGTTGTGTCCCTGTTTATGGTTATGTTATGTTAGTTTATGGTTAAGTGTATTGCTAGTTTATGGTTATCACGAACAGACTTCCGACAGTCTATGGTTATATGCTATTGTGGGTTCCCCCAGCGCCAGCGGTGACATTCCAAAGCGTTGGAAAGTTTCAGGGCAAGTTTGAAAAGTTCGATTGCACAGCCGCGGTCGGGAAGGTTTGGCTTACCGTCTTGTGCCGCCGGTTCTGGCCCACCTCGCCTCGGCGCGACGCGGTAACCACGTCTCAGTTTCCAGGCGTCAAAACCCCGAGTTGTTCCCGAGCCACCACCCCGCGGAACGGATCGATGTGCTGCCAGCTTGAGCGGCATAGCGCGTCGCCGGGGCTGCCGCCGCGACACGTGAGACAACATGTCCCCGCTGTATCTCTTTGCCTCGGCCCGCGAGTCTTAGAGACTACAGCTCAAGCCTGCGCCAGCACGTGCAAGTTCCAGTTTGATGTATTGTTCCAGGGCGTGGCTTCCTCATGAAGCCTTAACGAGCGGGTCGAGACCGTAGGCATGAGAAAGGAATGCTGGGCCACCCAGTACGACATCCACTGTGTGTTCTCTGGCCCTCGTGCTGAATTGCATGCGAAACGCTGCTCTTCTAGCGGGGGAAGGGTCGGGAGATGGTAGAGATGGGAGTTCTGATGGGTTGAGCGCGCCCGTTGTGTTACTAGGGGGGGGATGGGGTCTTGAACTGGTTTCATTTCCCTTGAATTCCCTTCCCCTTAATTCTTCCCTTCTCGTTAATTATTCCCGTTAATTGTCTTGCATTCCCTTTAATTGTCTTGTCTTCCCGTTCATTTTCTTGCCTTCCCGTTAATTGTTTTGTCATGTATTCCCGTTAGTTGTCTCGTATTCCCGTTAATTGTTTTGTATTATTTTTATCTGTTATTTTTCGACTCCAAGGCCCCAGTGGGTGCGTTCGCATACAGGAGAAGACGGAGGAGGAGGAGGAGGAGGAGGAGAATCTCCGCATTCGCCCTCCATCTCCGGGCTCTGGGAGATCCCGGGAGATGAGGAATTAACGGGAATTTGTCGGAATTACCGTCCAGGCAATAGAGGGAAAATTTTCCCGGGAGGTCCCGGGAGGTGGGGCCTCGGGAGGTGGGGGCCTTCCCGGTAATCCGTTGTGATTGTATTAATCAATATAATGATCGGGAAAATATCGGGAGAGTTCCCGGGAGGTGGGGCCCCGGGAGGTCCCCGGGAGGTCCGTTAATTCTGGACGGTAATCCCCGAACCCTTCGACGGTAATCCCCAGCAGTGAAAATCATGTGGGGCGAGGGGTGGGGGAGCTCGGGTTGCTCTCCTGCAGTTGCGCCTCGCCGAGCCTTCTCCCGTGCCTCCTCCCGTGCCTCCTCCCGTGGCTCCCCGGGGCTCCTGTAGGCCTTTGAGGTCCATGGGTGTGGTTGTCCTGTAGCCCCACCCCCTTCTACGTGTAATATAGGAATATCCGCTAACCATGTAAGACCGAGTATGACTGACGCCCGTAATCATTAGTTGGAGCAGGCGGGGATTATACGGAACTTATAGGGAATTATAGGGAAATTAAAGGGACATGATTGGAATGAGGGAATTACATTGAAATTATAGGGAAATTATAGGGGAGTTCAAATAGGGAATTATTGGTTAGTCAAAACTCGATCCCCCCTCTTGTAACACAACGGGCGCGCTCAACTGATGGGATTGGGATGCGAGTAGAGAAGTGGGTGTATATATAGAGAGAGAGAGAGAGAGACCAAACCAAAAAATAAAGAGTGAAGGCGGGTGGGAAAAGGAGATAAGGTGAGAGGCTAAGGACGCAGACCCCCGACGACATTTTCTCCACAACGTCGGCCCGCAGGGGTCTCGACCCATTCCACAGGACCGGCTTTTCTTCCTGAGCCGTGTTTTGGCCGTCTCAGGGCCCAGCGAGGGCCCGCAGAGGCCGAAGATAGCCAAATACCGCCCGTCGCGATTTGTTCCAGGACCCGGCAGGGTCTGGGGAGGGGGGATAGTAGCTTACTCCTACCCATATCCCTACCCATACCCCGTACCCCGTACCCCGTACCTTTACCATGCACCCCGTCCCCCTGCCTCCTACCCCCTACCTCCTATCCCTACCCCCCTTACCCCGTACTCCCTACCCCTACCCCTACCCCCTACCCTTACCCCGACCCCCTACGCCTACCCCTACCGGAGAAGGAGGAGGGGAAGCGGATGGAGAGACAAGGCAGGCAGGCGCGGCAGAGGCCCTTCTGTGCGCGGCCGCCCTGCGGCTGTGGGCGCCATTTGCGCCCCCCCCAGGACCACCTCAAGAAGCACAAGACCTGGCTGTGGAGGTCGGCGTCCTTCTGCGCTCGGGAGGGGGGGGTGATGGCGGGGGGAGGAGGGGAGAGGGAGGAGGAGGGAGAAGGAAGAGGGGAGAGGAGGAGGAGGGGGGAGGAGGGAGGGGGAGGAGGGGAGAGGGAGGAGATGGAGGAGGAGGAGGAGGAGGAGGAGGAGGAGGAGAGAGGGAGGAGGAAGAGGCGCAGAGGGAGGCTTGTATCTATGAGCAGATTTCGGCCGACATTTCGATGGGTTGAATTTACACAAGGGCTGCCATGGTCGCTGTGTTGGGGGAAAAGTACTGCGGTCGGCCAGATGTGGAGACCCAGACGGGCCCGCAACCCTCGCGTTCCCCACAATCGGCGGACAACGCCGACATCAAGAATGTAGGCTCACACACACACACATCTATATTTACACATGAATATATATATATATATATATATATATATATATATATATGTGTGTGTGTGTGAAAGTGCTCGCACTGGAATCATGTAGCTAAGCCCAAGCGCCGCTACGCGGGGACCGCTTCTGTAGTCGTCTCTGGCTTCAAGCGATAGCTCAGTGGGCATGGGTGTCTAGTCCCGACCTTTCCTACGAACTCGTGCGACCCATCGGTGCCGTTTGGATTGTTGTTGCGGGCAGGCGCCCTGTCGTGCCGACGCAGCCTGCCTCTGACCGCTGGTGTTGGCCTGCCCGGGGCGCCGCCGATCCCCGAGGCGCCGTGTGGGATTGCCGACGACCTGGAGGTGAGGAGACCCTGGGATCATGGACGTGACGACGGTCGGGGAGCGGGGAGTGAAGGCCTTGGTCTGTCTCGCCGTGGGGGCCGTGATGGCGATGGGGTTCATGGACTTCCAGGTGTCAGGCCCTCTCACTGTGCCTCGGTGCCTCGAGTTCATCCGCCGCCGCCACGGTAGCGCCAAGGACCACCGCGGGTTTCGGGTGCACATTCAGGGGCAGAAGGAGTTCTGGGGCGGTGGCGAGCAGTACATGATCTTATCGGCCATCGACCTGGCCCTCACCTGTGACGGCATGGACATCAAGAGTCCAGGTGCCTTCGAGCGGGTGCTGAGCAGAGCGCGGCCCATCGAGTGCGCCTGTTCAGAGATGGGCGGCGGTGGCAGTTTCGACCCCAGTGGCTTCGAGGGCGAGAAGGACAAGGATGGGCCGTGAAGGTTTTCTGCGTGTGGGCTTGTACGGCGAGTCCCAGATCTTCATGATCAGCTGCAGGGAGCTCGGTGACACCTTGGTCCCCCCCGAGCTTCCCGAATACGTGTCGAAGGAGGTGGAGCGCGAAACCAGCGTGCTCGAACAAGTCCGCGAGGCCCGCGAGGAGCGTGCCGCGGCCCCGCAGTAGCCCTACGAGGAGACTTCCTGGCCAGGCCGCCGCTTGGACGGGCGCTTGGCGGGGGTGCATGAGGGCCTTCCCCGCCCCGAGGGGGGCCTTCGAGTTCGCGGCCCCGAGGCCTCCCGCCTGTTCGGGCCCAGCCCCTGGAGATGCCAGGCAGCGTGATCTGTATCCTCTTCCTGCCGAGTGTTCGTCGATCTGCCGACCGACTCTGTCACGGAGGTCGCGCCAGCGTCACCATGCTCACCGGCACGAGTTGGAGTGGGCGAGCGAGACGGTGAAGTCGCTCAACGAGATAAGTGTCGGGCCGCGTGGCGGTGGCGAGCACGTGGGGGCGGCGCGGCGTTCTCGACCGCCTTCTATCGTGTCGTGTTCTCGGGAGGTGGGTCGCCCCCCTTCTGGGCTGACTGGTCAGGAAGCCTTGCGAGAGCTTCTGGCCCGCCAGGATTATGACGGGGAGCCCGCAACCCCAGCCAACCTTGATGTGGACCGACTGGCCCTTCCAGAACGAGGGCACCGAGTTGTTCCTCTTTCGGACTTGGATGGGTCTGCTGGTGTGGAAGTTCCACGGTTTCTCCAGGAGAAGCTCATACCAAAAGAGGATGTTGGACAGCGCCAGGTCGACTCGGGACGAAATTCAAGGGCGCATCATGTGGATAGTGCTTTTCATCGCGTCCCGAACATGTTCCAGCTTTCCAGCCCAGCGAAGCGGAGTGATACTCTATCCGCTTGCAGGGCATGGCGCGTCGCAGGCGTCGCCGCCGCGACACGCTAAGCAACATGTTCTGAATGCAGGAAGGCTCGCGGACCGATGGTGATGAGACGGACGTAGACGATTAGGATGATTGCGACAATTATGATATGCGAGCTTGACGTACCGCCATGGTTCGCAGCACTGGGTCAATCATGTTGTCCATGGTGTTGTTGGTTATGTTGATAGTATGATGACTGACCATGGTGGCATCTATGATGATCACGAGGAGGGTGCTGATGAGGAGTATAAGCATGAGGTCTTGAATCAGGACATGGGTGAATATGGGTACGACTATGCCACGCGCTTGCATTTGATAGCGGTGCCCAACATCTTCTAGCCCCCCTCCACGTCCTAGGTTAGAACCTGAGCGCGCGCGATGTTTTGTTTCATACATATACATATGCATCTATGTTTACAGACGTACACACAAACGTCCACCTGGGTGCTGCTTGTGTAAAATCAGCGCGGCTGGCCTGGCATGAGATCTGGGAAAAAGAGGGGTACGCAGTCTTTCCTGAGATTGCACTGGTGCCTATTTTCTGTCATGCGCTGGGGAACCTGTGGCTAGGCAGGGCCCCAAACTCTCTGTGGCAGCGTGTTCACGCGCGCTGAGGAGGTGGATGAGGATATCATGGGTCAGGGAGTCTGCTTCGCGCGGTGTGCCCAGTATCTGCCGCCACCCCTTGGAGCGCCACGAGGATCCTTGTGGGTCTGTTCACCTTTGCACTTGTGGGCGAGCCGGTGCCACAACGCACCGCTTTGTAGGAATGGGAAGTTCTCTCTATCGCCTTGCTCGTACTCGCAACCGTGTTTTGTGGTGTCCACATCGGGCGCGTGGTGGCGCATTCGAGCTGCTTCCAGTTCACCGTCACGTCTGCCTTATCATCATTTTGCTTTTATTGTTTAGTTCTCTCCCTATCCCCCACCCTCCTCTCGCTCTCTCTCTCTCTCTCTCTTCTTCTCTCTCTCTCTCTACTTGGTTGATGTCTCTCTCTCTCTCTCTGTTTCCATATTCATTTCTCCGCCTCACCAGTTCCCTGATGTAATCCTCTGACTTAGAGATTGCTGTTGGTGTCTGTTTCTGTTTTTGCGTCACGGTAAAACCCAGTGTAACCGCTGTCGTGAGCGATTTGCCGTTCTCCCAGCAGGCGCAGTACCCGATGCTGTTTCGCATGCGAAACCGGTGTGGAAGCGGACGTCCGCGTCAACGGATCGAGGCCCCTGGCAAGAAGAGTGCTCACCAGCCATCTCTTCGAAGGCCGGCTGCCCGCCAGGCAACCCCCGATGCCGTGCCTGCGCGTAAATGCGTGTATGCAGGGCTGTTGCATGCCGCCTTGCAGGAGGTCTCATTGGGCGCCTTTTGGTGGCTTCTTGGTGTCTTTTCATGTAGGGTTTCCCCTCGCAGCTGCTAATGGGATGCTGCGCTATTCCTGTCGCCCTGCTAATCAAATGGCCCACGGATTCTCCACGAATGGCCCGCTATTGCCCCGCTAATGGCCCATTGATGGCTCCACGAATGGCCCCGCTAGTGGCCCACTAAAGAATTTGGGCCACTGGTGGCCCACTAATGCAATGGACCCACGAATGACATACGAAGGACTTCTGGCACACGAATGTCCCATTAATGATCGTCGAACGATTCGGTTATTATATTTCTTTCGCGATAACGCAGTAGCAACCCAGTAGTACCAAAGCAGGCGGTCATCAGCGTGCCATTCGCCAGGGCCGACGGTACTGCGAGGCAGGGCCCTTCATGCATATTAGGCTTTCGTTCGGGGGTGGGGGAGGGGGATGGTCTTTGCGTTGGTAGGGTTGCTAGTCTTGTTGCGTATCTAAAGTTTTTGTTCAGGGGGAGGGGATGGTTTCTGCGCTGGTAGGAGGAGGAGGAGGAGGAAGAGGAGGAGAAGGAGGAGGACGACGACGACGAGGACGAGGACGAGGAGGCCGAAGAGGAGGCAGAAGAGGAGGAAGACGAGGAGGACGCGGTGGCGGACAAGGAGGAGGAGGAGGAGGAGGAGAAAAAACAAGGAGGAGGAGGGGGAGGCAGAGGAGCAGGAGGGGGAGCCCTGCAGAGGTACGGCCGCCCTCCACCGGAGCCCGGCGCACCTCCCGGCGAGAGCGCGCCAGCCGTGGCGGCGCCGCCCCCGCCGGAGAGAACGCCAGAGCGCACGCAGGATCGCGGGTTCCGCCTCCTCCTCCTCCTCCTCCTCCTTCTGCCTCCTCCTCCTCCTCCTTCTGCCTCCTCCTCCTCCTCCTCTATGTATTCCGACGCTGGGCCTCCTCCTCTATGTTCTCCCCTCCGACTACTCCTTTGCCTTTTCTTCCTCCTCCGCCTCCTCCTCGTCCTCCTCCTCCACCTCCACCTCCACCTGCCCTCGTGCCGCAGGTGGGCCCTGAATTCCCAGGGCCGCGATCTGCCCAGAGCGCGCGCGTTGTCGCCCGGCTCTTCGTAGGGGGACGAAGACGTGAACAGAAATTCCGGAGGTCCGCGCGGATTTCTAAGATCCGCGGTGGAACCCCCATGTCTCGGGGGTGGACCCCCCAACAGTGACACGTCGATTAGAGAATTGTCCGTGTTCGGTTCTCGAGAGGGCGCCGCGGCCGTTATTTTCCAGGCTTGCGCCCGCCAGGTCTGGGCCTCGGGTCCTTTTCACTAAGCCACGTTCTACTAAAGGGAGGTCTGTCCATCCCCGAATGTCGGCGCCTGCGCTCCGCGCGCCGAGGAGGGGGTCCAGCGCCGATCCGAGGAATCCGCGCGGACCTCCGAAATTTCGTGTTCATGTCCTTCTTCGTCCCCCGGCGTGCGGGGGGGGGGGAGGAGGCCCCCCGCTTTTCTGTTTCTGTCGTTCTTCGCCCCCCCGTTTTTCTGCTTATGCCATTCTTCGTCCTCCGTGTTTCTGTTTGTGCCATTTTTCTGTTCCTGTTTGTGGCCTTTCCGATTTGCCCACGGCGTGCGCGTTTCCGCCTGGCTCTTCGGGCTCCGGGGCCCGCACGGGGCAATCGGCCTCCGGGAGAGGGCGCGGGAAGAGATGGGGTCCGGTCCCGAACGGCCTGGCGACTCTTCGCCAGTCGGCCTGTGTGGGGTGTCAAGCCGGAGATCTCAAGGTAGATGCAGAGAAACGGAAGGAGCTCCCAGCAAGTCTGGGCAAGTCCAGATCAACCCGGAGATCTCTGGGGAAGTTCTGAGCAACTCTTGGCCGCTCCAGCGCGGTTCGAGGGACGGCCGAAGTCGTTGCGTGGTTGGTTCCGATGCTGCATTTTTTTTTGGGGGGGGGGGGGGGGCGGCGCAGGATCTCAGGGGAGGGGGAGGGGGGAGAGGGGACCCCCGAGGGCGGCCGGGCCTGCATGCAGGCCTGGGCTGGGCCGTGGCTGATCTGGCGTACTGCCGCGCAGCGCACTCGTGGCTCGCGTGCGTTCTCACCATCACCATGCACGTTGCCACCCCGTCTTGGCCGTTTTCGCCACTCGTGGGTACCAGCGGCTGCGTGCAAAGAGCCGTCATATCCGCTGCGCCGCCGCGAGAATCTGTCAACGCGCTTGAGGGTGGCGCTTGGGGCAGGGAGGAGTCCTGGGGTGGGGGCCTCGCGGCGGGGCCATGGAACATTTCGCGGCTTGGGGACATTTTTCAGGAAGGGGAAACACACAGACACAATTAATCGTCGGTCCCCAGGAAGATGCGGGAAGGGGGGGGGAAGACAAAAACCTAGAACATATGGGAACATATGTGGAATCTTGTTATTTGTGTGTATTTCTTTGTGTGTCCCAGGGCCCCTCATGGAGCGGGGATTTTGCCCGACGAGGGAGGCGCGCCGTGCTGGGTGCGTCTGGAGGGGCGCTCCTCTCCGAGGACGAGGGCGGCGCCGACGAGGACGACGGCGCGGGGGGAGGAGAGGGCCGAGGAGAAGGTGAAGCAGACCGAGCAGGCTAAGCACGAGGAGGATGAGGAAAAGTAATGTTGAGAGTGGGGGGAGGATTGAGAGGGACGGTAACATGAGGAGGACGAGGGGAGCAGGGAGGAGTAGGGCAAGGGGGCAAGGGGTGAACGGTGCAACGAAGCAGGATTGGCTTCACAATTCGAGAGTTTTCGCTATGTTCGCATTCCTTGTCTCGTTCCCGAGGTCAGTCCTGGGGATTTTGGGGGTGGGACAGCCGTGCGCTCTTCCCGTAGTCTCGAGGATCCCCTCTTCGCAGTTTCTTCACCCCCTTGCTGCCTGAACTGTAGCGCAGGCAGTTTTCCACTCGTCACTCGTACTTCAAGAAGAAGCAGCTAAGCGCACACAAAACCACCCCGACCCAACCCGAAGGCTGCGATCTGCCCTCCATTTCCGGTGTGGGGTGGGGGTCGGGGAATCTGAACAAAAACACATATGAAGCTCGTGCCTCCCCCCAGACATGCGACGTCCGGATTTTTCCAGGACGGCGTCCCTGGAAGTCCCGACCCTTTCCCCGGGACCAGTTTTGCATCCCGAGCGGCCCCGAGGCCCAGCGAGGGCCCCCCCCGGTGCCGAAAAAACATACAAAAATTGCCCGCTCTGATTTTTGTTACGACGCGCTCATGCCTGGGCCCCCAGACCGAAATTCGGGTCCTCGGGTTGGGTTGGGGTGCTCTGGCAGGTGATATTCAGCAGCCTGCCCGGCAGCCGTGCAGATATATACCGCGGCCGCCAGGCCTCCGCACCGCCGAGAGTCCCGACCCGGGCGGGGCCGGGGCGAGGAGAAGTCCGTCCCGCCTCGCCTCGCCAGGGCTCATTTCGATTCCCCCGATTCGATGTGATGCGTTTTCGATGGATGCCGATTCCGATTCGACTCAACTTGGGATTTCGACCTGGGTTCCGACGTTTTCCTGGACGCATACGAGCCTGCCGAGTTCCACCGATTCGATTCGTTCCGGCTCGGCTGCCGATTTCCGCCGGTCGGATTCATGTCGATCGCCGATCCGACTGATCGAGTCGATTTTGGCCTCTCTTGCCTCGCCCTCGAGCCATGGACACAAAAGAACATCGACGGGAGCTTCTTCGCGAGGTTCGGCCTCTGGGGGTCCTCGCTGGGCCCCGGGGCCGTCGCAAGTCGGGCGGGGCCAGGACGAGGAGGAATCAGTTCCAGAGCGTTACGGAGCGCTCTCAGAGGGCTCCGGAGAACGCTCTGAGAAGGCCGCGGCGCCCGTGACAGCCTTTAGAGCCGCCAGATCTCAGAGGTTTTCAGCTTACAATCATCGGCCTGACCTAAGGAACGATGAATAAGGAACGAAGCTCTTTTCTTATCCCAAGGAATAACGCGTAAGGAACGACACCTAACACATAACGCATAAGGAACTGTAAATAACGCGTGCAAGCCTAAGGAACGACCGAGCCCCTTTTGAAAAGTAAGTGTTCCTTATCCAAGCCGCTCACTGTATCCTCACCAGATTTCATCCTCGTCCTGGATTCGTCTCATATTCCTGAGAATCCCGAGCATCACGCTGTGCACGCGAAGCGTGCACACCGCGGGCGCCAGGTCCCAGTCCCGTGGGACCTCTTGGGGCACTCGGGGGCCTCTCGGGGCTCGTTTTGGGG